ATAGAAATATTCTGTTTTCCTTCTTTGAAGAACGCAAAGAAGGTGTTTCTGTGTGAGACCCACCATGGATCTCTTCCCTCACTGTTCCTCTGCTCCAGAAACACACACTCTCAGACCTACAGGTGCGTATCTGAGCCTCATCAGAGAGGACTCTGCTGCCGGAGGCCAGAGCCCCACTCCAGCCCCTGCCCAGAGTCTCTCAGGGGCTCAGCACTGCCCTCAGACCAGCCCGAGACACCTGTCCCGGGAAGGCGGCTGGTGACCCAGTGCTCAGGGGTCTGTCCTCCCGCAGAGATCGGGCTCTTAGTAATGCAGTCCTCGGCCACTGGTCACTGAGTTTGGGACTTTGTCCTGGAGCCCTGGAGCACACCTGGACTCCTGGTCTGAGATCTTCAGATGGAAATCCTAGTGCCCACTCTAACCCCCGCCCAGCCTGGCTTGTCCCTAGAAGGATGGTGTTCTCTTCTTTCCTGAGAATAGGTGTTCTCTTCTTTCCCATCCCAGGAGTCTCTCTAGTTGATTCATGAAAGTGGAAATAACAATAGAAAGGAAGAGAGAATCATATTCTGTTGAGTCTGCGCCAAGGGTTCCTTACCTTCCTGATGCTTCCATGTTTCCTAGGTGGTGGTAAGGATGGATTACTCTGGAGGTAGGGACGTAGCACAAGGAGGAATCCCAGTGCACACAGCACGGCGAGGATGGTATCAATTGCCCAGCAAGTGGAACTGGAGCTCAGCCAGGTATCAGTTACGCTTTTCAGATTAAGGAGAGGATTCTCCATCATCTGAATCGCACTGCTGCCACCAGGCAACTGAGCACTGGGAGTGTACTTGGGGACTACAGCCCCAGGCCCACATCACAGGGCTGAGGTCTGGTCACAAAGGGTCCTGAGGGCGGGGAGGGGGCCATAAGAGGAGGGGGCTGGACCATAGCCCCTCCCCAACCATCCAGCCCCGCAGATCCCTCCACCCTTCTCTGAGCCATCCAATAGCACCTCTCACCCTGTTAGAGACAAACCTTAGTCAATTTTCTATTCGTTCCACCTGGAACTCAGATAATACTTGGTTCCTTGTATCTCTTGGAGAGCTTGGCTTGAACCCACCAATTTCATATTCTTTGAAAGTCTGAAGTTTTCCCAACAATTTTGGGTATTTCATGGGACTTTCAGAATCTCTTCTGTCCTCAATTCCATTTTTTAGCACATTTCAGTTGTACGATGCAGTGTTATCAACTATAGTCAGTATGTTACACATTAGATCCTCAGACCTTCTTCATCTTACAGCTGGAAGTTTGTACCCTCTTACCAGCCTTCTCCCTACTTCCCCCAACCCCAGCCTCTGGCGGTCACTTTTCTACTCTGTTTCTAGAGTTCATTTTTTTTTTTTTTTTTCAGATTCCACACATAAGTGATACCATGCAGTATTTGTCTTTCCCTTTGTGGCTTATTTCACTTAGTGTAACGCCCTCCAGGTTCGTCTGTGTTGTCGCCAATCTCAACTCCATTTTTCCCACATATGTTTTTCACTTTTATCCCAGAAGTAGAATTTTATATACTTATTTAATTTTGAATATTTAAGTTGTTACTATTTCCATCAACTTTTGCTGTTTTACTCAGAACGACTGATGCAAAAATTCAAACTAATGATTTATTATTTAAAATTCACAAAAATAACTAAGTATAATAAGAATATAAATAATTAACCTCCAGATAGTATATTTTATGTTAGTAGCATTTATACTTATGAAGTTAGAAAAGCTTCACAAAGATTTATGGGACATGTACACACACACAGACACACACGCATACACAGGTACACAAAAACACATACATGCATACCTACACATACACAGATACACATGCACACACACACGCACATATACACACATATACATACTCATTTTGACAGACCCATTTATTATTTTGAAATCCAAGAATTAAGCATTTCTTCATTTTCTTTATATCTATTATATGTTGTCTTGACCCCATTTCTTCTTACTCTGCCCAAAATAGACAGTCTCATTCTCTAGAGTTGAGAACATGTGTGGCACGCCCAGAAGCCAGGCGTGGGTAAGGTGAGCTAAAGTCCCGGTCTGTAGAGAGGACACTGGGACTGGCGGGGCAAGGCCTGGGTTTGAGTCTAGTCTTAGGCAGCCCTTCTGATATCCCGAGTGTGTTCTACACATCCTCTCTCTCTTGGCTTCCGCTTTGCCTTCCCCCTCCTGCCCCCTCCAGACCCCTGGAGCCTAACATTGTGCCTGTGCCCTATAGAGAGGGCACTTTGAGTCCTGTAGGAAATTCCCTTGTGACATCATTGGACATCCCTTCTGGCAGCAGGAACTGGGGATTCCCTTAGGGATTGTACTTTTTGATCACTGCATGGTTAATTTTTCGTAATACTTGAAATACAGGCTTGAAAATAATGTACATTCTCCGTTGGTCATAGAGTCTCATACAGCTTTCATGGGAACGAGAGTGTTTGAGTTCATTTGCCTGGACTTTCGTGAAAGCACGTGTTCAAGAGCACGTCTGTGACATCTACTGTTGCTTTGATCGGCCTGCAGTCTCTTCACCCTTTATGATCTTGTCACTGGGGCATGGTAGTCCCAAGTGTGAACAACGAGGGTACCTTGGGAGCATGGAGGGTCCCAATCTGGACACCTAGGGTCAGTGGGGAGCATGGGGGTGGTCCTGACTTCTGCTTCATTTGCAGGGAGACTTGTGGCTGAGATGTGGGTCTCGTCTTGACCTAGAAAATCAGGCTTGGGTACGCAAGGAATCACCTTCTGTGAGATAAGAGAAAGAGAAGAGAAAATGTATATCGGTCTCTGCCCCCAGTTCCTGGCTCACAACTCCTGAAACTCCTGTAATTTCCTCAGTGATAACAGCACTAGGAGCATCTTTTGTTCTAATATTTGTTTTTTGACCCCAATTCCTGACAGAGGGCTCCTGAAACCCTTGGAATTTCCTGGGTGATAGGAGTGTCTCCTGTTCTAATGAATTTGTTCTAATGACTCTAGGTGAACTCCTGGATGAGACCTGGTCACTGGAAAGACCAAGCCATGATAGAAGCTTGGAATTTTCAGACCTGTTCCCCATCCTCTTGAGAAGAAAGAAGGGCTGAAAATGGTTGATCATGCCCACGTGAGGAAGCCTCCATAAAAATCTGACAAGTACGGGGTTCGGGGAGCTTCCAGGCGGGTGAACACAGTGACATTCCGGGAGGGTGACACACCCTACACTATGGGGACAGAAGCTCCTGTGCTTGGGACCTTCCCAGACTTCACCCTACGTATCTCTTCATCTGGATGTTCGTCTGTATCCTTTATCATATCCTTAATAAACTGGTAAACATAAGTCAGTGTTTCCCTGAATTCTGTGAGCCACTCTAGCAAATTAAAGGAACCTGAGGAGGGGGTCATGTGAACCTCCAATTTGTAGCCAAGTCAGACAGAAGTTGTAGGTAACCTGGGGACCTACTTCTTGTGA